AGAATCCCCCAGTGAGGGGCTGGGGGCGTGGCTCAGTGGTAGAGCCCTGCCTAGCACATCATCCAATACACAGTGGTTCTATACTGGCACTAGGTCCTAGAATGACCCTGATGTTTTAGGCATTAATATTGAGAGTCTGTAACTCCTCCATAGGCAGACAAATATTTACCGGAAGTAAACAAGAAGTGTTTAAATATTTAGGCAGCAGCCAACAGTGCTTGCTCTTGCCCCTGGATGTCTTTGTTCATCCCAACCCCAAGTTACAATCTAAGGCTGCGTCCTCAGTATGGCCTGATTCAGATCTGACCTCTCTGCTCTTCCTATTCTATCCGGCCCTGGGTGTTAGGTCTCAAACACACGCAGATGTCACACAGCGTTGTAACTTCGCAAGGGCTGTATTATAAGGGAGCTATGAGAGCAGGCAGTGGGGCCATGTCGCCTCCTGTCTCTTGGGGCCACAGCAATCCCCAAGGTCAGGCTGGGAAGGGCTCAGCACTGCGCGGAACTAGAGATGACCCTCACGGCATCAATTGCACCTGTAATAGAAACATGAATTCCCAATAGGGGGTGCCAGGACAGGGATGTCCCTTGTGGGAAGGTCTGAGGAGGGGTTCACAGCTCAGGTTCAGGAGCTTGGGGTCCTGGCTTGGAAGGTTTGCGGGGCTGGCGATTTTTTTTTTTTGAGGGATTCCACTGAGCTAGTTTGGAATGTTGTTACAGTGAAATAGAGGATACCTGAAGTCTGTGGGCCTTGGGATGATTGCTGGACCTGGAGACCCCCAAGATTGGGTCTGGGAGATCTACAAATGATTTCTGGGTTTGGGGCTGATTTAGACAGAGTTGGTGGGGGTGGAAGGTTAGATCAGACTAACTCTTCAAGATTTGGGTCTAGGGTCTTGAGGCCTGAGAGGTTTTTAAGTCTCAGAGTTGGCTCTAGGGGCTGATAAGGCGAGGCTGGCTTAGGGGTCTAAGGGCCCCAGAGGAACCAGTGATCTCCTCAGTCTGAAGCCAGGAACCTCATGAAAGTGCAGAATTAGGGCAACACTGAGTGGAAGGGCTTCTAGAATGGAGGCACAAGTTGGATGGAGTGTGTATTTCCTAGTATGGGGAACCTAGAGTTTGTCTAAGAGATTTTAGGGGGGAATGAAGGCCATACTATAGAAGATAACAGGGTTAGTCTAGGGGTGCACTCAGAGATGGGACCTCCAGGAACAGTTTTGGGTTTGGGTGGTGGGTCTGGGTAGGGACTCACTTGCAGTAGAGACCAGAGATGGCGTTGGACCAGTCTCCGAAGATGCCTCTGCGGTACTCTTCCAGGCGAGGGTAGGTACCAGCAGAGAACTTGCGTGTCTTGCCACGCTTACCGGGGAGAGACCACACAGTGAGCTCGCAGCGCTGGGCCACTACCAGAGACGATGCAGTGTTAGACCAGTCCGAGGGCAGGTAGGGCAGGTCGGTGCCTGGCTCCACAGACAGCTCGGGGCCCTGGCAGCAGTTGTCATAGTACGGATCACTCTTGTCATAGAGCTTGGCGCACGTGCGCGTCCCATCTGACTTCTTCAGGTCTGCGGGCACCGGGCAAGTGCCATGGGCACCAGGGACAGCCACCAGGGCTAAAGCCAGCAGCAGCGGGCACAGCAGGGGCATGGTGACAATGGATCACGAGAGATCTGAGGTGCATTTATGCGTCTGACCCATGGGAAGAGAGAAGCTGTGAGATAAAGACTGGGGAGGAACAAGGACACGCCCCCTGCCCTAGGCGCCGGAGACCTCTCTGATCCGCCGGGAAAACCTCACACCACTGAATAGTAAATACAGATACTCTCTCTGCCCTAGGCGCTAGAGACCTCGCTGGTCAGCGTGGAAAACCTTACACCGCTGAATAGAAATACAAAGTGGGAGTAAGACTCTAACGCCTCGGAGTCTGACTGGTCAAAGACCAAGGGGTTGGAGATGTGGCTCGGAGAGTTTGCCTAGCGCCCAGGAAGCCTGGGATTTGATCCTTCGTCTTTGTTTACAGAGTAGCTGCGGTGGGGAAAGTGATGAGGAGGTAGCAGGGGGATCGGGAGCTCAAAGTTATCCTTGGCTACAAAGCAAATTGGAGGCTACTTTGGGATGTATTTGGGATACTGGGTGAATGGGAGATAGATAGATAGATAGATAGATAGATAGATAGATAGATAGATGATAGATAGATAGACAGATAGATAGATAGATAGGAGATGACTCTGAGGTTCAGATCCTTGAAGAGGACCATAGTCCAGGGGATTCGTCACTTTTCACCTCTGTGGACATTTTACAATCACATGCACAAACGCCCACAGAGACATATATGTGTACACATAATTAAAAAATAAATCAAATATTTTAAATTTTAAAAGTCAGGGCTGGAGAGACGGCTCAGCAGGAAACCCTGAGTTCTAAGTCCCAGCACCCATGGGGATGTGGCCCTGTGCACCTGTAATACCAACACTGCCGAGGGCAGAGGCAGGAGGATGGCCAGGACTTGCTGACTGGCAACCTAGCTCCAGGTCCAGTGAGAGACCCTGTCTCTTGAGAATATTTTGGTGACAGATCAGAATAGATAGATCAGTCCTCCTGTGGCCTCTGTGCACACATGCGCACTAATGCATATATCTCACACATATGTGCATATGCCACACACATGCACACGGACACGTAAAAAGGGAATAGAAAGAGAAAAGAGAAAAGCAGCTAAACATGTTGGCACAGACCTTAAATCCCAGCAATGAGAAACCTGAGGTAGGAAGAGAGAGAGCTGTGGGCCAGCCTAGGCTACAGAGCGAGACTGTTTGTAGAACCCAAAGGGCTAGGGATATTAACTTAATTAAATGAGTAATTTAGTGAATTAGAAAAGGTTCCCAAACTCTAGATGTAGCTATCGCATAAGGAGTGTTTACAAATTGGCCAGAAGAGATGAGTCTCCTCTTAAAATAAATATAATTTTAATAAACCCAAAGACGTAACAGAATTGCCTACAGAGGAAAATCGCCTGGGTCCAGACCTCAATTCCTTCACGCTTTTGCACCTCACAGTAATAAGGTCATAGGCTCGCACCATGACCCCTGTCCTCATGCAAGGCAAGCCCTTTACCCACTGCGCCATCTCCCCAGCTCTGGAGCTTAGATCTGGCCTCTGCTGTGTACTTTCTGAGTGACCTTGGGCAAGGGCACTTAATCTTTCTGAGTCTCAGTTCCTTCTTGGCCTCTGCGAAATCATAGCTGAAAATATTAGTCAATGACGTCATTTATAATGGCTCTAAGCCACTACAAACAACCCACGTCATTGTAATTTATCAATATACTACGAACACCTAATAGAAAATATGGGATAGATTCGAAATTGTATGTTTAAATGTGCGGGGCCTGAGGCCGGGGCCTGTGGGTCAGCTGGGGTGTCAGTACCATTCTTAGTGTGAGCCTGAGAGGCTGGCCCTGCCCCAGAGCACAGTCTCATGATTCACGGGATCTAATCTCCAGCTGTTAACTTCCCAGAGCACTTCCTGGACTTCAGGGTCATGGAGGCCCCACTCTTGGCTCTATGAGCACGGAGCCAAAGATACCAAAGTGTGGAACAGTCATCTACGTCTGGATCCACCCAGGAGGGTCCCAGGAACATAAGACATGTCGGGTAGGGAGACCCGGAAAGAGACAAGAACATGACTCACACCCACACACCAGCATAGGAATCACAGAAAAGGCCACGGCACAGCAAGCACCCCAGCCCTACACACAAGTAGGTAGAGGGACAGATGCGGTCATTAAATGTGTGGTGCTTTTGTTATTGCCGTCTTTTTCTTTATGCTGTGCAGGGCCACAGATGTGTTAGGCAAGCACCCTACCACCAAGCCATGCCATAGCCCCTCACTGGGGGATTCTGGGTAGGTGCTCTACCACTGAACCACATGTTCCAGCCCCTCTCTGGAGGATTTTAGGCAGGGGCTCTACCACTGACCCACGCCCCCAGCCCCTCACTGGGGGATTCTAGGCAGGGGCTCTACC